ACTTTCCTTTTCTTTTTCTGCTTTCTCTGTCTTCGTCCTCTTAATTGTTATTGTTTTTCCCTTTATTGGCCTCTCTTCACGAAATTGGTAAGGGGGCGATAATTAAGTACTGTCTACTTAATTAGGATGACGAGTCTAGGGGTACTCCCGGGCTGCAAAAAGGGGAAGGGCTCTGATAAAGCTTTAGCCATCTAATTAAGTGGGAATTGTGTATTGCCCTGAGTACTTATCAAATTAAGACAACCTGTTCTTATTGCCTCACACATATGCTATGGGCAGAAGGAAAACTGTTCTGAGAGAGATTGTTTATCTTTTGGCTAAATATCTCTTTAACGGTGATTAAAAAAAAGTAAGGGGGGGGGGGGGCATCCTGTCTAAATCCAGTATAAACACGGTCATGAAAGATACTGAGTGCGAGGGATAATATTCAAGAATTGAACCGCTCCTTCAACTGAATCCCTTGGAGCCTATTAAAGAGAAGACAAGCACAGTGGGTGAATCGATAACCCTGACACCATTGCAAGTAGTTAGATACCTTGATCTTTATGAAAGTTCTTACTCGAGTACTGTTTAAGCAGGAGGACGCTATCTATAGCACAACATTTCATCATCTGATCTGTGTTATTGCTTATGTAAACCGCCTGATAAATATGTGAGGTTCATTTCACAGAGTGCACTACTTGAAAAGGCACATGGACAGATTTCGTTTAAGAAGCATCCCTTATTACGAAGGAACGAAAGTTGTGCCTAGAAAACATGTTGTGTAGCTCGGATGAGTTTTGCATCATGAGCTTATGTTGCGCGTGGATGGATTCTGCGCTGAAAGTTTTATGATGAGTAAGATGACAAAACTTGAAAAGACTCTCTGTTATATAACAATCAGCGTTATCCCCTGAGCCCATTCGAGAATATATCACCTTCAACGAATGTTTTATGTGTTACCCTAGCTAATCTCACAATATGTCATACCATGTGTAGTGCGTGGGTGTTTATAACTGTTGATCATACTTTGGCGAGGGGTTTGATTTGGTTTGTTGCCATCGATGTCTCTAATAATATGAGTTATTTGCAAGATTCCCTTACAACTCAACAAAGATTGGAAACTGTACCTGGTAATGCTATTCGGTAAGAAATTCCCCAGAGTCATAAGAGCATGAGTGAGACTCGACAACATCTTAACAATGAACCTCAACTAACCAGACCCTATTTCCTCACCTTGCCCAACTTCTGAGGGAAAACCACTCAAGATTGAATTACTAAGGATTTCACAGTAAACAGGCTTGTTGGGGTCTTGATTAGACACAACCGGGTTGGTTGTGGGTTGGAACTGAAAAGATTGGTGACAAATGTCAATCAACAAACCATACTTTACCTCAACATTCTGTTGACAATGATTCTTGGTTAATATTGAAGCAACTAATGGTTGTTAAGCGCCTGAGATATCACTCGTGAACTACTCTCACCTGCCAAGAACAAGAGAACTCTTCAAACCCAGGTTTAAATTGTTAAGCCGGATAAAACAAAATCGGATTTGGATTGACCTCCTGCTCAGAAGTGGTTCTTCCTTGTATAGGATTGGCTCAATGTTTCCTGCTTTGTACTGACGAATATAAGTCAGATGTTAAAGTTTGAGACAACCCAATGGACAAAAGGATTCCTAAACTAATACAATGCCAACTTCTGAATTCTCTCACCCAGGCCGGCATCAATCAGTTAATATTCTCGCCTAAGATTTTTATATCATATTCCAGTATCGTCCTTCGTCAATACATGAATACAGTCTGACCACCCCTGATTCGTTGAGTTTACCGCCTCAAGCGGCTTAACATCTGCAGAGCGGGTTTAACATGAACGTTGAATCAGAGGAGGAACATGGCATTCTGAGTAACATCGACAACTTTGTCCTAGGAGCAACTGCCTGTACAGAATTTGAGGTCTCCCTAAAACCAATTGCAGTCCACTTTATTCACCGACTGGGGTCAAAAGCTTGAAGGAGTCATGAGGGACGACGAGGTCCTAGTGATAAAGTATCGATCAAACAAAGACAAAAAGGAAGGATGGGAAAATGAGATGTATTGAGACATGGATTCACATAGGCAGACTCATCGAGAACACGTGGTCCAGATGGTCAGAAGGGAGAAGTACATTGAATTTTTATGGTTTTAATGAAAAATTGCATAGCATTGACTCGCTCTTTAAGACGGTAGAGTAGATCAGGGCTAGGCTCGAGTAAACACAAAAGGGCGCCCAAACTTTTCTCTTGGGGTTCCTACTAGCACCTCAATTAACAAAAGCATTTCAGCAATCTGCAGTCCTCTTATGCAGTCAGTATTCAGTGGTCGTTATTTCCAGCAACTTTCAACCATCTGAATTACCAGAATTCTCAGTTAGACTTCAGCCAAGAATCGACTGTAGTCTTTTCCCTCAAAGATCAAGTATCAACCAGGTGACACTTCGTTCCAAAGGCACGGGGCAAGTTCCAACAACCAGCATTAACCCATGAGTGTGGTTCAACCATTTCCCGTCAGCGAGTCGGTTTTGGCCGGGCTTAACAGGATAGCTCTCAAGAATGCTGTCCGGTACAGATATGTAAGTGCAGTGGGCTTCAAACAAGAAGACTTGTCCATCTTTGTTGTTCTTACTAGCTTTGCAGCAGACACCATCCTCGATCTGAGACTTTACGTGAAGAAAGGCAAAGAGACTCATGAGCATTTTGATCCAGTCTGGGTTTCGACAGCCAGGTACCTTGAGGGGAGAGAGAGAGCGTTCAACGTGAGTGGTACCAAGTTTATCCTTAGCTTCGGACCCAGGCTCTACACCGACTACCCCAAGCCGTCGGTACCCTTCACTCTCACACATGGTTCTTGCTGGGGAGACCTGATAGATCTGACCAAGAGGTACATTTCACCTGCAGCGATTGATTACGAGGCAGTGACAGAACCCTCAGATTTTCAGCACTTCAGACAAGGGATCTTCTCTCAACCATATCTCCCTACTCTATGAGAGAAATTTTGTGTCATGGTTGACTTCTGTATTATGGGCCTCGGATGAAAATGTTCAGAGCTTACAAATTTTAGATGACTCTATATTTATAGGTCACAATCTCAGGAGGTACATAAGCGTGGTTCGAGGCACAAAAAACGCACAACCAAATGAGATATCAATAACGAGACTTTAGTGAGACGAGTGAGGACTCTTAACGAGTGTTGGTCATGCCTATCTATCTGTACTTTCTGAGACTATTATGAGTTCTCATTTTTTCCTCATTTATCCTTGTCTTTGCCCGAGTCAGTTGGTCTTGCTTCATTTGCTTTGACTTTGCTTGATGATTATGTTCTCATATGATTCTGTAAAAGTTCTCAAAGTTGGTAAATCGGCAAAATTGATACATGCATGACACACCAGAAATTCAAGATTATTATTTGCATAATCTTTGTTGTTCCGAATCAAAATAAAATATTCCTAAGACCGGAGACCGACGAAGACCGCAATTGAAGGGTCTTGCTCGAGGTCGGACGCACAAAACAGGAAGGCATTTGCTTTAATTAATTAATTTTATTTATTACAAACATCATCAAAATATTGCGTGACAGCCTATTGGCTTTCTGGTCGCCCGAAGTGGCCCAATTAGAAAAAGTGCGACAACGTATGTGTATGCTATAGCGATCGAGCAAACGCCCTCGACTGAGCTACCTCTACGAGTGCAAGTAAAAACCTTCGCACGTGGGCCGGTAGCTCAGCAGGGATACGCCTACCTAAGGGTGGTGACAACCCCTCAGGTAGAGGTGAGTTGTACCTCGCGAAACGCTGTCCCGTCGTAGGGTCTCGTGGGATGTATAGCCGGCGTGCACAATCGGAGTGGTAATTGATTACCCTCTCCTCAACAATCCTGCGTGACACGGCCGTGAGGTTCCACGCTCGCAGCAGCGTACGGGCCCACCGCTCCCGACAACGGCTCCAATCTATTGGTAGGGAGCTACGCCTGCTGGAAACCGGGTCCAACAATTCTAATGTGCCCCTCAATTCTACACAATATTTTTTTTTGAGAATTTTTTGATTTTTTTTTTTTTTTTTGGCGTTGGGGCTGCCCGAAACCCTGCCTGGGGCTCCCGCCTGGCCAGGCACCCATGCATGTATTCGGGCACAAGTTGGGTGGCCAGGCACCTGGAGAAACAGCCTACCAGGGTACCTAATCCGATACCACTTGCCAGTGAGATGGTCCCTTGGTGATCAAGGGCGGTTCCTTCTTCCCTTTTCCCTGCCTCACTTTCACAGGCCTAAGGGGCTCATCCGAGTCTGAGGTCGTCTTCCGAGTATGGGGTGTGAGGTCGTCCTCCGAACGTGGGCCGGTTTTCAAGGTTGAGCGAAGAGGCAGGCCGAAGGGCCGGTCTGCCAGTGGCGGTCTTCCAGGCCTAAGAATACGTACCTAGCCTGCCCTGACCTGTCCCAGGCCTACGCTCTCCTTCTTCCCTTTTCCTTGCCTCACCTTTCACAGGCCTAAGGGGCTCATCCGAGTCTGAGGTCTTCTTCCGAGCCTGAGGTCGTCCTCCGACCCTGGGCCGGTTTTCAAGGTCGAGCGGCCGAAGAGGCAAGCCGAAGGGCCGGCCTGCCAGTGGCGGTCTTCCAGGACTAAGAATACGTACCTACAGTAGCCTGGCCCGACCTGTCCCAGGCCTACGCTCGGACTCAGGGCCTTGCTCCAGCACTCACCAAATGTGCAAAATGAGAACGAATCTTCAGGTAGAACATCGGAACATACACGGCCATATTTTTGTCTTTTGTGCGTGTGGTGAGTAGTGGATCGAGGTCCTAATAAGTACGGAGTACATCTCTGCGCTCTGTCCCGTCGCGCCCCGCCCCCGCCCGCCGCACGCGGATTTCTGTGCCTCGTGTCCTGCGGCCATGTGTTGTCATTGACAGGCTGCACCGGTTACATATTAGATAGAGTTGGCGGGAAATCTCTTTTGTATCTAAAGGGTACATTGTAGGTTAGAGTTGGCGGGAAAGTTCTTTCCTATCCTAGGGGTACATTAGAGATAGATTTGGAGGGAAAGCTCTTTCCTATCCTGGGGTTACATTGCAGATAGATTTGGCGGGAAAAAAACTCTTTCCTATCCTGGCTGTACATTGTAGATAGATTTGGCGGGAAAGCTCTTTCTTATCCTGGGGTACATTGAAGATAGATTTGGCGGGAAAGCTCTTCCATACCTACGTGACGTGGCTGGCTCCCCTGCCACGGGTAGGCGGTGATTGATTGCTTGGCCGAGAAGTCGTGCCCACGTGACAGCATGTCGACGGACGCACCTTGTTCTGCTCTGCCTTCTGCTGGTCAGCAGGGCGATGGTGGTACACCAGCAATAGCAAGCACACCGGCGGGGGCCGGTGTGGCTGGGGGGAGCCTGAAAGAACAAGGTAATGCCCTGTTCAAGGCCGGGAGTTTCCTTAGGGCCGCTGTCGTCTATACCCAAGCCATAAAAGAGGACCCCAATAATCACACCCTATACAGGTAAGAAAAGAGGGAAAAAAACCCCCTCCTTTGTTTGTGTTTATTTTTTGGGGGGGGGGGGGGGGTGTTCGAAAGACATTGCATTTAGCAAAGAGGATTGGATTAAAGCGCCTGAATCTGGATGGGTTTCAAGCAGAGATGCAGAAAACCAGGTCAATCGTGATTTCCTGCACCTATTCACAAACACGTCCATGTGCAGGCATTAAATCCAATCCTATTTGCTACTAGTGCAAGCTCGCCCCTGTTCTGTATTTTCAGTGATCGCGTGTTTTTTCCTGCATCGCATTCTCTCTCTCTCTCTCTCTCTCTTTCTTTCTTTCTTTTTGTTTTTTTTTTGTTGTTTTCTCCCCTTCTGTTCTCCCTCTTTTTCTTTCTTTTTTTTTTTCTGTAAGGCTTTTCCCTGGTAAGGTAGAAGGGGAAGTAATAGAAAACTCTTCTAGGTTAAAAAGAAAAAACAGCCTGAACTCGTTTGTTGATATATGTATATAATATATATAAATTGCACGTGGTTGTGAGTCCGCCAGTAATTATTCGTCGGAAATCGCCAATAATACGATATATATTCTATATATTCTTTTTTCGTCTTCCCCCCCCCCCCCCCCCCCCCCTTCGTTTTTTGCGCTCCGTCGGCTAATTCCGACCAAGTCGCTCATACGTTTTTTTTTTTTTTTTTTTTTTTTCCCCCTCCTCTTCTTTTCGGTTTTTACCCTCCGCTCGAGATTCATGCAGATGGCATGTTCGTGTATGTATGCACGGGCCTCTTGTTTGTTTATTAATATTTATTTATTTATTCTTTTTGTTTATTTTAATTTAATATTTTTAAAATTTCTGTTTATCTATAGAAGTAGAAGAGTATGGGTGGACGATCTTGATGATGTTTCCCCCCCCCCCCTTTTTTTAATGGATGGGCGATCTTCAGAATATGGATGGATGATCTTTTTTATTATTTTTTAATTTTTTATTTATGGATGGATGATCTTAAGAGTATGGATGGACGATCTGAAGAGTATGGATGGACGATCTTGATGATGCATTTTTTTGCCCTCTTTTTTTTAATGGTTGGTTCAGGATTGACGATCTTAATAATGTATATGTCATATACCTTATTAAGATTTATGATTAAAAAAAAAAAAAAGAGTATCTGATACGGGAAGTGAATGGGTAAGTGGAAAACTCACACGCAGTAGGTAGGACTTGTGCGGTCGATGGAATCTTGCCTCCATGGGGGCCAGATACAGCCACGAGAGAGAGAGAGAGAGAGAGAGAGAGAGAGAGAGAGAGAGAGAGAGAGAGAGAGAGAGAGAGAGAGAGAGAGAGAA